GTCTTGAAATTGAATATCTGTTTATAAATATCTGTATTGGGCTATCGGTGGAGGATAGCTATGATTGTTGTAGAAATTGCATGAGGATTAGGTGAATTGAAACTAATCTCTTGTTGGTTGTTATTGAATATGACTATGTTTTAAATACATTGTATATGTATGAGGTTTGGAAAGAAAAAAGGGATGTACTCCATAGTTGGGAGGAGAAAATGGATGGACTCCATTGAATTAAGTTGGCCTGTGTGTCCAGGGTGAAAGTCCCGAAACCGCGTGTATACATGGGTGCCGATTCCCGCAGACGGAATTTTCGTAAAATGGCAAATTGAAGTGTTTGTGTGATTGTTGTGTTGATTAGAGAACTACTGAGTTGTAGCCCTAGTTGGGTTATCTGAAAAATAATGAAATTAGCTCATAAGTTGAGATAAAATGAATTGACTTTAAATGAATTGAAGAACAATGGATTGAGATATAAAATTTGGTACTTTGTGATCTTGCGGAATAGGAATGATTTGTCAAAGGCATTGTATATGCACATTGTACTTATATTTTTGTCAAGACTCATATATTGTGATAGATTATTTCTACTAGGCTTTGGCTTACCCTACTTGGGAAAAACCATTTTTAAGTGTTGGTGATCTGCCTCCGCTAAGGCAATAGCTTGGAAGGAAAAGGAGCTGAAGGTTTCTCTTTTTGTATCGTGCTAATTGTTTTAATTCTAGCCAAGGGCTTTATATATATTGAATTTGTATCCATTTTGTTGTAACCAAGCACAGCCTTGGAAAGATGTAAGCCATTAGGGCATGTGAATATCTGTTAACTTTCATTTTTCTATCACTCGTAACACATGTTGTAGATTCAGAATAAGTCATTTATGAATGTATATTGCATGTGTCACCTTTTGTGTACGAACTCTAATGAATGAAAGTATATTGCTTCTATTATTCTTTCGCTTATGAGTTGGGATTCATTGTATTTATTTGGGGCGTTACACTAACACTCAATGATAGATAGTGACAAATAGCTATATGAGGTAAGTGAAGTGATTTTATGTTTTGCACAAAGTAAACACTTCTAAAAACTATATCAGTGACATAATTCTAACACGGAGAGTATGTTAAATCAAGTGAAGTGGATAGCACAAAAATCATATAGGTATATTAGTTGAAGAGATTAGGTGTTTAGCACAAGAACAACAATTACTCTAACAGATATAGCAATGAGAAAATCAGCAAAGAGAATATGACAGATATAGCTATAGCAGCCTACGTTCACTCCTCAAGCTTTACTTGAGACATTTTACTATTCTTTTAGCTGCACAGCGGTGCTAGTAACCTCATACACATGGAGCAATCCTTCATAGATTTTCTAACTTTATAAGTTTGCTAGTGACCTTTTACAATATTGGAAATGAGTGTTTTTCTTTCAAAGAAAGCTACAAAGATAACCTCTCACAAATAGATACAAAATTCTAACTCTTAGATTTTTCTGTAAACGTCTCAAAGGCAAATAGGCATAAGGCTTAGGCTTAGTGTGTGTTTTCTGAAGAAAATGAATTAAACAAGAATAGAGAATACTTCAGATAACTTTAAGGATGAGTTTGAGACTAATGATAAAATCAAAGAAATTTCTTAGCTCAAGTCTCTCTAATTTTTTTGAGAACCTCTCAAAGGTAGATAAGCTTAAGGCTAAAAGCTCAGTGCCTGATATACTGAAGAAAATGAAACACAGATGAAGACCTCTTCAGATAACTCTAAGAAGATGAAATATGTGATTGATGAATGATAAGAAAATATCTTGGTTTGTTGTTTTTTTTTTTTTTTTTTTTTTCTTCTCTTCACAGAGCTTTGTATGTATATCAGAGCTCAGTGCTCTGTTCTGTCTACCAAGCCTATCTTCTTCTTTTCGTTGAGGAGATAGGATGATGATGGGTGAGTTAATATACAAATGATTGCTCGGAGAATCTTAGTTGCCCATGTGAGTTTTGCCTGTTGAATGATGGGTGTACTGATGCAAATAGTTATTTTCTCCTCTCAACATCTGTTTTGATATCTGAACTTTGTTGCATAGTGGACGTCCACCCAGATGTCTCAGATGAAGTTATGTGCCTATGGGTCGTCTGCTTGGATGTCCTTCCCGACATCCGACTGGATGTCCCATGAGTCCTAGTCGTTAAGGTTGTCGTCTAAGGACGTCGAATATACTGCTGGTCTGACAGTCGGTGAAAACAAAACTAAAACGGAGCTAAACTGGGCTGATTTTCCTCCTTGGGTTGTCCTTTCGGATGTCCCTCCGAACGTCCCCCCGAATGTCCACCTGGATGTCCCAAGCCTGCCTTAGCTTGTAGAAGAGAAATACCAAAATTGCCTTGGTAGGTCGACCGCCCGATCGTCCGGCTTCAGTCGATTTCGGCCTCTAGTGTTCTGCTTCTCTGTTGTTGCTCTGGTGCACTAGTTTGGTACCTATTTAAGCCTCATTTTGAACTCAACAAAGGCATGATTAGGATATAAACATAGATGAAAATATCATGGAATGATTTATAATATTCAATTTATTTTGATCTTCCAACACTACAACCAAACTAACAATTTACGGCATCACGTTTACGGCATGCATTAAATGCATGTCGTAATTAGTACATTCTACGACATTTTTTTTTCAAGCCTTTAATGTTTTGTCAATAATAGCATACATGCCATGTAAGTCATTAATTCATATATTTATGACTTGCAAAAATATGCTGTAAAAAATATATGTTTTTACGACTTACAAAAGTATGTCGTGTCGTAAAATATTTGTACTTAAGACGACATACATTTCATGCTGTAAAATATTATAACTTTACACGACATGCTAATGAATGTCGTGAAAACTTGTACCAAAAAAAAAATGCAACCTGATTTTTTTTATGGCATGTAAAAGTATACCGTAAAAAATGTATATTTTCACGGCATACAAAAATATGTTATAAAATATTTGTACTGAAGACAACATACATTTCATATTGTAAAATATTAAATTTTATATTTTTTTGAATTTAGGGATTTTTTTAGAAAATTAAAAAATAATTTTCCTACTAAGTATATGTAAATTATTTGAATTTAAAAAGTAAAAAAAAAAAATTTATTTAAAAACTTACGCCACACTCGCTCTCATTCTAGATCCATACCTGCTTTTGTCCCAAACCGTTTCATTCTCTGGAGTTAATTATGAATAATAATAAAAAATTCTAGACGTTCTTAAATATTTATAAATTTCTGGTAGATATGACAAATTTTTATTTTTTTTTCCAATAAACTAGATATAAAATTAACTATTTATGACTTTCTGTTTATGATATGTATTAAATGCATGTCATAATTAGTGTATACTGCGGCATTTTTTTGTTTGCGAGCTATTAATGCTTTATCAATAATGGCATATATACCATATAAGTCGTTGATTCATGTATTTACGACATGTTAAAAAATGACATAAAAAATATAAACTTTCACGATGTACAAAAATTTGTCATGAAAAATTTATATTTAAGACGACATACATTTCATGCCATAATATATCATAATTTCACACGACATGCTAATGCATGTCGTGAAAACTTCTATTAAAAAAATAAAATTTAATATCAAGTCAAATAATATTTAAAGCCAAATAAAAAGGTTCAAACCCAAAAGATAAAATAAATAAAAAGAAATAATTTATATTTTAAATAAATCTTAAAAAATATATTTATAATTATCCTAAATTTTCTATATCTAACTTTTCTATAATATATATATTTTTTCCATATTCAAATTGAATTTAAATATTATTCATATGTCTATATCTATTTTAAATGGCATGTTAACAGATGCCGTGAAAACTCCTTCTTCATTTGGTAAAGTTAAATCAAGGTAAAAGCAAAATCCTTACACTATGTTTGGATTGGGTGATTTGGAGAGGGAAAAAAAAAATAGAAAGATATGTATTTCTCTTACTTGTTTGGATAACCTAAGTGGAGAGAAATTGGAAGAAATAGAGAAAAACGGAGACAAACTCATTTATCTTATAACTTTTATTTTCAATTTTCCTAAAAATAGAGAGATTGGAAGAGAAAATAAATCAATAGACTCTTATATTTTTATAATATCAATTTTGTCCTTGTAAAAGTAAAAGAAATAAAATAATTGAAAATATAAAAAGATTATTTTGATAATATAACATAAAATAATTTTTTTTTCTTTTCTATTATAAAATCTAATCAAATAAAAATGAGAAAAATTACAATCATTTCATTTCTTTTATTTCTTACTTATCCAAATAAAAAGAAAAGAAATCATTATTATTTTTTTTTCTCTTCTATTATAACTTAAATAATCAATTCTTTTCTTTTTTTTTTTTCTCATAGGTTCCCAATCATATGGTTACTTTAGGATTTTAATTTGTTTATATTTGTAGAATTGTATTTTTGCCCAAATCAAACGTGACTGAAACCTCTCTCTCTTATTTTAGGATTTTAATTTGATTATATTTGTAGACTCTGTCTCTCTCTCTCTCTCTCTCTCTCTCTCCTGCAATCCCTCATTCTCTCTGATTTCGCCATGGATGGGAGTAAGCAGAGGTTCGAAGCTCTCGGAGAAGCAGAGAGGTAAAGAGAAGACGATGAAGGAGAAGAAGATGATGATGATAGTGGCGGTGGCGGGAACGATGTAGAATTGGAGGAAGTTGATGATGATGACGGTGGCAGTGGTGAAGTTAGGAGCCAACTCGGTGGGTTAGACTGTTCGTTACCACCTCCAATCAAAGCACAGTTGGGCGGTTCTCAATTGGAAACCCTAGCCAACTCCGATCTTCCATGCGATTTTGTTGCTTCTTCTCGCCATTTCTCGGGTACGATCACTAATCACTTCTCTGTCTCTGTCTCTCTCTGTCTAACAAGTTTGTGGTGATGATCTGACAGAGGTGCCAGTGGTTTATGCTCTTCTATGGCTGCTGGATTCGGCTGCATTCAAGGTTAGGAGTGTATTTTCACACTACCACTGAATTTTGAATTGTTCATTTCTGCCATTTCTGATTGATGCATCTATTTTATTTGTTTATTTATTTTCTTGTTTTTGCGTCTGTTTGGATGAGTTTTTAAATTTTTTGGTCTTTCATTTCACTCAATTATTGGTGTATGTTATGAGATTTATGGGTTTTGAGATTTTTATATAATTTATGTATTTGGTATGCATTTCATAGCTGGATCTGTTCGGATTGTTTGTGTCTTAAGGTTCTGGGGTAATGTATGTTGATTTGTCTCTCAAATGGGTAGCACATTGACTCTACTCCTTTAGGGGATCTTTATCGGGTTGCTTCAACTTTTTCTTCTCCACTGTCTTTTCCTTTTTCTCAGATGAAAAAAATATCATCAATAGATATCCAAGTCAACAGAACTCTGGTTGTGTTTTAGAGATTGCCTCCCTTTTGAGTGGGAAGTTGGCTTTACAGTTGCCGAAGTTACAGAGCTTGTGAGGAAAAAAAGAAAAAGAAAAAGAATAAGAAAATCTTTTAGGTATGTTGTTGAGGGATACTTGTTGGAGAATGTCAACAGAACTCTGGTTGTTATGTAATCAATTTTATTTTAATTTTCTAATTTAACAATGAATTATGTTGATGAATATTGTAGTTTTTCCATGCCATCTGTTCTATGCATCTAGTGCTAAGACATTTAGAGCATAAAGTGTCCGGCGTTTTGTTTTGTTTTGTTTTGTTTTGTTCGTTTGTTTGTTTTCGTTTGTTTGTTTTAACAAATGAATTTTGGGCATATGCAACTAAGAAATTTTTGACTATACAAGAATGGCAACAAACAAAAGAATGAATTTGTTATTTTTGTTGTTTCTCTGTTTTTTGCTTTTTGGTTTTTGGTGCCTCATAATTGTGAATGGTATTGATATGTTATTGTCATGACTGTTGTTTTTACAAGAACTAGAGTGCGAACTAGAAACACTACTTACTGTGCTAGTCCAGCTTCGATTTTGTGATTTTTGGCCACGAGTAATTTTAATTTTGGGAGTTTTCTTTGTTGTTGTAAATTTAAATTGTTTGATCACACAGATATTACAACACTCTTTCAATTTTATTCGATTCCTTTCTTATGTTGTTTCTTCGTATTCCTCTGTTTCCTCTATGTTTTTCTTAGGTATACAAAATTTGGTGGTGCAGTTCTATAAGAACCCGAATATACAAATCAAGTAAATAATTAAATAATAATAATTTTACGATCTCAAATATTTTGATGGTGAATCCTAAAGTGCAAATTAATTATTATTGAATGATCTTTTAATTAATTTTAAAACCTAAAATAAATTTATGGTGAAAGTCTTTAATTTAAAGGCAAGATTTATTATATAAAAAAAATATATGGGACAAATTAGTTAGTATATTTTGATCTAATAATAGTTATATTTTATTTAAATTAATGGAGAGAGAAAATAAATTAAAACAAAAGATAATATTTTAGGGCATTTTATTTAAATACATAATGTAACCCTAGGTTGCCTAAACACAAGAGAGCAGCAACAGCCTAATACAATTTTTACAACAGTAGTAGCAGCCACGGGAGAGAGACAAAACTGTCAACATATATGCACCAAAAGTCACAAATAATCACATATCCATAAATTGAGTCCTGAAACAATAAATGAGCTACATATACCTATAATAAAAAAAACTACACAATCCCAAAGAAATGAACCCTCAAGATCAAACATAGATCATACCCACATGTCAACAGAAAATGAATGGGATAAAATGCAGATGGTTAAAGAGAGGAGAGATGGATAAAGGTTTGTGGAGTGAGCTTTGAAGTGAAGCAAGATACAAAAAATTGAGAGATCTTTAAAGGTGGAATTTATCAACAAACACGACACATTTGAGAGGGTATTTAAAGGTGAAAAAACAATCTCTCACCATTTGATCTTAAAAAGATATAATCAGTCTTACCAAAATATTCAAGATACTTTTAAAACGCTGCCTTCTTGATCTTAGCTGTATGAGATCCAATAAAATGTTTAAAATTGATCTTGACCATCTAAAATGATACATGAGACAATCCAATCTCTACTTGGACAATGATATAAAGTACAGAACAATGTAATAACAATGATTCCTAAATTTCCAAAATTCACAAAGCTTCACAATTCAAGTGATGACAAAACAGAGTTATATTCTTCATCCAACTACATCATCACTTATGGTTATCTATTCAAGGCTCTAAAGCTCTAAGCAACATGATCATGATTATCACCATCTTGCTCTTGCTTCCATTGGCCTATGAGAAATTAATTCAAATTGTGAAAGTTAGGTTAGGAACTTGGTAGACAGAAAGTAGTAAAAGAGAATTGATATGATACATGATTCAATGTTAAGATATCTACAACGCAATACAATACCGTCAAACTCTCTTGCAAATGCCAACATCACTGTTTAAAGCAATGCAGCTATTATGGTCAATTGATTTGTTGTCATTCCATGTTCAAGTGAATAGACATGCGTCTGCACTATTAAAGTAATGGATAGAAAGAAAACAACAGCATAGAGAGTGAAATTAAGAATGACAACAAATCATACAAACCTCCAAACTGTAGCTACCTAAAAACCTATTGTAGTGAAAACATCATGTTTGATACAATAAGAAAAAGAAAACAACCAAAGAAAAGAAAAATTCAATACTAAAACCATGATATAAAACAAAATTCAATTGATAGTGGAAGACAACCTTGTAAGAGAAAAATAATCCAAGTACCTACTAAACTGTGTATTTTTTCCCAATGCAAGAGTCTAGGCTATTCCTACACTC